CCTTTTTGTTGTTCTTTATTTTTTCCTGTTCCACCACCAAAAGGCAGTGAATTAAAAAGAGCCGGGGGGGGGGGGATGATTCCCTTCACAACTTTCTGTGTCCAAGGCCTGGCTTCTTTTGAAGGAGGGGGATACGCAGGAAAAAATAACGTATTTCTGCTCTTCAGAAAACCACCATTTCTGCTGCAGCTTCTCCCTCATCTCCTGCCTTAGCTGCCCCCCGGGGTGGGGCAGGGGTGCCAGGGGCCAAGGTGGGTACCCCGTCCCCACGGCGGGGCAGAGCCGTGGTATGGCGTGGGGGCCCACGGGGAGACCCCCGGCACGGCACAGGGAGCAGGGCCAGGGGCGTAAAGCAAACATCATTAGAAAAGGCAAAGATGAGAAGCAAACAGAGCAGCCAAGTCTGGCACTGAACAAATACCCTGTCGAAACACAAAAGCCACATTAGGATGAGGCAGGGACCCCCTCCTGGCACCGGGCGGGAGCATCCCCATGTCGGGGGTCTTGCCTGGCACCTCCTCCGTGTCCCGGGGCCGGCACCCTGCCAGCACCCTGCCCGACACCCAGCACCGGGGACGGGACATCCCAGGCTCCGGTGATGCTGAATCGCATCCCGCCCGGTGCCAGGATTTATTTTATCTCCACTTTCGCCTTTGCAAACATGTACCCGCCGGTGCCTGGAAGCAGGGGGGTGTCACAGGGGGGACGTGGGCGCTGCCAGGTTGGGGCTGCGTCTTCGCGTGCAGAAAAGGTTTCGGCTTTGCCACGCTTCTTGCCTTTAATCAGGGCTTTGTTTGGACGAGGAGTCCCCCGCGCGCACAGGAAGGAGGAAGGGGAGCGCGGGGCAGGATCCGGCCCCGGCGAGGGGAGGAAGTCCTGTGTTTGCTCGCCAGGGGACAGGGGTTCAAGGGCAGTGGCCGACCCAGCCCCGGCTGGACTTCAGACCCCCGGGCTTGGGCAGGGAGCGGGGTATTTGCGGAGGTGGTGCAAGGGCAGAGCAGGGGCCGGGGACTCATCCTGCTTCATCGCTGGCTGGGGAGCACAGCAGTGTCTGAGGTCCCTCTTGGATTTCCAGCTCCCCGGGATGTCTGTCTGCGCGGTGCCAGGTGCCGAGTGCGGCTGGGCCCTCCTCTCCAGGTGATGCCAGCACGGGGTCTGAGGACGAGGGATGCCTCAGCTCCCGGGGCAGGGCATGTCCCAAACGGAGCGTACCCCTTCGGGTGAGAGCGGCGATGGCGCTGGGCTGGCACCCGGGGACCCGGCTCTGCACCACACCGAGCACCACCCGAGGAGTGGGGCTGGCTGCCGACCGGCGGGTTCCTGGTGCGACCCATGGGTTCCCAGTTCCCCCCCCCAAAAAAAATCACATCAAACAGCATCGACTGTGCCCGAATCTCATTCCCCAGAAAGCGGCTCCTGAGAGCCAGGGAGCCCCTTGCAAAGCTTCCCCTTCGGGCTGGCTCTGCCGAACAGCAAGAGGAGCAGGAGCCTGCCCGGCCCCGCTGCCTGCCACTGCGAGACCCGGCTCTAACCGGGGACATCGCG